AAAGATAAAAGACAAAAACTTTACAGTGGGAAAATGCTCCCCCGAAACCCAATCTCACACTCGTTTCTATCCCTCCTTGTGAACCTAAAACCTCTCTTTACCGCTGTCTCCAGCGCCGTCAACCCTCTCGAATCCTTAATTCCAATATCTGCACCTTCGTCTAACAAAAGATTTAGCACATCTGGGGAATCCCTGCCCGAATCGTCCAACGCTGCCACATGTAGTGCTGTCTTCCCTTTTTTGTTCTGTACATCAATACCGGCGCCGTGCTCCAGCAGAAGCGTTATAGCATCGAACGCGCCTTCGAGATAACACTGAGCAAGCACATGTAGTGCTGTGTTCCCCATATGGTCCTGGACTGCCACATCGGCACCATTCTCGATCAAAAGGCTGATCCCTGGCACTAGATCGCGATTGAAGACATGATTTCCTTGTGCTGCCCAATGCAGCGCCGTCTTCCCTCGCTCGCACCGCCGGTCAATGTCGGCACCCCTCCGCAGTAGTAGTTCGGCGACATCAAGATTGCCGAATTGCACGGCAAAGTGCAGTGCCGTCTGCTTGGCTTGATATGTACCCTGGTTGATCTCGACACCGTGGTCTAGAAAGACCATCACCATGCCTACGCGGCCACTGAGGGCTGCGCAGTGAAATGCTGTCTGCCAGGCGTCGTCGTGTGCGCTGATATCGATGTCTGGATGTGAGAGGAGGAATTGGGCCATAATCTCATTATCGCCGAGGACAGCATGGTGAAGTGGTGTCTGGTTACAGCCGTCGCGCACGTTGATAGAGGCACCGTTGGCGAGAAGGATTGAAGCAAGCTTACGAAAGCCCTTTTCTGCAGCCCAGTGAAGGGCAGAGATACGGCGATTCGGGTGTTTCTGAGACTCTAGGATGGCTGCGTCCAGTCGAGGCATCAGAGCTGTGAGGTGCGGGCAGCACTCTAGGAGTGATTTGAGAGAGAATTCATCGAGCTTTGAGCCTATTGCTTGGAGGGCCTCGGTGGGGAGATTAGGGAATGGCATGACATTCGGGCCTCTGCCAGTCTATATGTCGGAGAAATGACAGAAAAGAGGTTCTGTTTGCGGTGCCTGTCTGGTGGGAAGACGCGATGGATGGGCGTGAGGAGGATCAAGCAGGGCAGCTGTATGTAGGTAGGGGTTGCTATACATGCGCCAAGAAAACCCCGGCCCCTGACCCCCTTATGCAGATCGAGTACACCTGCATTGTGATCTGTGCTGGGGTAATGGTCGTTGGGCGGGCCGAGAGCACCCTCTTTAGGAAGGAGTAGTGTTCGGTGCAGTGGCTTCATGCACTGTACCTGCATATCTATAGATGGTATGTACTCTAAGACCGTAAGAACATCTACATGTATTTGTAGAGTATTTACCTATGTGGAGCACTAAGTTCGAACTATAGGAGCGGTACCAAACATCTGAGGGTGATTTTTGACGCTTCTTTAATATATATATATAGCATGTACTAGTTGATGTTCAACTATCAAGTCCCAGTTCTGCACCCACACGGGACGCGGCCAACCAACGTACCAGGTGGATCAGGGGGCTCGCGCCTCCTCCTGTCGTGATAAGAATCTGGAGGGCAAAAAAACAAAGTAATTGCCTACATAGGTATCATTTACGGTAGATGGCGTGCAGATCCACACGTGTGCGCCTCACGCTGAGACACATTCCCGCATGGGGCACAGCTACTCAATCTTGAGGACTGTTCTGAGTTGATTGAAATGGCCGTTACCAGGGCGTTGGGAATACATAAATGTGGAGTAGATGGCAATACCTTAATTCATGCGGTGACAGGTGGTACGCACTGTGCTGGGTGTCACGAAAAGCTCGGACGATGTCTTTGAGCCAATGATCAGTTGTATGTAACTGATGGGCACAGCAAGACTTCCATAATACTCAAGAATGATTATTAGAGTTTCAGGTTTTTACATCTTTCAATGGGCTTACTTAAAACTTGGCTCATTTTGTAACACTATGAGAATGACATACCTCGACCCGCTCCCCCCCCCCCCCCATGCTACCCGGGTCCGCGGGTGGGTTAGAGATCTAGCTAGATCTTGGGGTACTATAGGGGCCTATATATATAGGGACTGGGAAGTTCTCTGGCAGCTGCAAATTATGGTTGTGCTAGCGAATAAACGGTATAAATATTCTAATTTATTTCCTTAGTTTAGCTATAGCTAGCTATTACCCAAAATACTGGCTCATTTAGGTATCCCTTGGACGAATGAGACATTGGAAAATCTCTCTCATGCATTAGCGTGTTCCATAAAAGAAGTGATTGACTGAACTTAAGGCAGAACGGTGCGAAATATATGGCATATATACCAGCGTAGCATAAAAACTGGTAAATGCAGCAAGTTGTTTACCCGGACATTTTCTCACCAAAGTATAGCGATCACATGATATATATGCATGAGAGAGATTTTCCAATGCCTCATTCGTCCAAGGGATACGCTGTACATGGCGATTCAGTTTGACATTACTCGATTCTTAATCTGAATCAATCACTCGCCAATCGGAGGAGCGCGCAACTCTTGCTCCTTGGCCCCCACAAACAAGGCTAGCTCAGCATTGGCGATAGTACATGTAGTTAAGTAGTTCTATCATTGCAATATCGATATTACCTACAAATATTGGAGTAGTATATATATATCGTTATACTTCATCTCTAGGAATAGCTATATAACTACATATATCATATAGCGACGAACGCATCGGGTATATCCCAGCCCTTGATGTATACACCTACGATGCGGCATCTTGGGTACGTGTAATTATACATTAAGGCCGAAACTCTTAATAATATCGCCCGCCCCGTAAAGCAGACCTTTGATCAATAGAAAGGTATATGTGTTCGGCCTTTTCTTTTCTTTTTCTTTTCTTTTATTTGTCATATCAATACCCGCTGTGGACACATGCGTAATGGAAGTAAGATGTACCCTTTACATACATAATTAGACTTAGCCATAGTAATCTTCTATTAACGAGTATGATATGAGTTTAGTTTACATGTACAAATCACACAATCACTCAATAGAAGTTGTATATTACGGCGTAACGCCCAGTACCGGGATACCGCCCAAGTGAGACATTGGCCATGAATCAACTTGTATGAGAACGAAAAGATTATATAATAAACGAATTGATAACGGGCATCCACAGAAGAGTGTATAAGAGTATTTTGAAAAGTAGAAACTTCCATAATATGTGTTTTGATACATGTTATAGGGTTCCCAACCGGCCGGTGGGAATAATTTCAGAGCCTACCTAATATTTTTAAATTTGACAACATTATTATACAACCCATATACATCAAAAATGTTTCAAAAGTAATATTGATCTTTTCCTTTATATATGAAGAGTTTTTGGGATAGGTTTCTCTCCCTTGGGAGATATATATATACAGTTACTACGACTACTGGAAATTGCCTCCATTGGCCGCTTTGGGGATACTCTAATTAAAGGTATAGTGAGTATATCAGTCTTGTTAGTATCGGAAATAGCTTATAAAAAGTAATAAATAAGTTAGACTTTTGCTAGTACTTGTTCTATATTTTTATTATTTATATCTATACCTTGAAGAACTCAGCGCACCAAGTGAGCGGTTACCCGATCATGGCCGAGTTACCCGGTAAAATACGTTATATCTCCGCTCAGTAATATTTCATGGGTACCCAAGAGGTTTTTTACAAGGTTATAAATCAACTAGATCCTAAGCTTTTGGGCATATATATATCAATGCGCTTAATTTTGGACGTCATCACCCGGTAATTTTGGTGATAAGACTCCCGTCTGGGAATTACTCTTCGAAGATCTTCTATTTCATGAATAATCGAGCTTAATGATAAATACATCTGTTTCTATATCCACTTATATTTGGTAATGTTCCTACCATAATTGCTCGGGGGTCGGAGCTATTTTGGTCGCTGGGGTTCGTCCCTGGCTGTGCATGGTCGTCACAATACCCTAGGCCATATGCTTACACTAGGATAACATACAAGGCAAGGAGAGTCTCGAGCACTAAGCCAGTATTACTATTACTATTGCCCGGACCGGCTAACTTTAATTCAGTGCTGGGCCTTAATATGATTCGGATATTTTATATATGCCAGAGGAATTAATCTCTAGGAATCAGGCGCTATAAACCGGTGTTACCCTATGATGTCTTGATTTCCCGAGATAATTATTGGGTGTTGAACATGAGCGGGAATGCACATGTACTACCAGGTGGTTGCTTTTGGTCGGTCTTCCTAAAGGTGGCTCTGTTGTTCGGGGCTTGGCGCGCAAACTGAGTGATAATCTATGCTATATATATATAATTTGTAGTTCAAACCATTTCGGTTTCGTTGGGCTTAAGGAAATGAATCTGAATAGATACAAGTATGTACTGTTAAAAGTTAAAGGTCAGGGCGGGATATGAGGTAAAGGTACGTGACTGGTACGTCGTAGGAAGTTTCTATGTACAGCGATAGGTAATAAGTGATGGAACGCCCTGAGATACGGTTATATCTGCAAGTACCGTAGGTTGGTGGCGTTTTACTCAAAACAGGTATCACTCTGTCTCAGCCGTTCCATCACTTATTACCTACCGCTGTACATAATACCTCGCAACCGGCCCTGAACTTTGACTCGCAGGTACATGTATATTCGAAAAACAACATTCCAGTACATACATGTAGTAGATTACCTACCGAGTTAAACAAAAAAAAAAGCAGGTTACTTGCCGGCTTCTATGCATTTGATGATACCCATTGGTGGAGGATGTGACATTTAAAGCTACAAGGGCGCAAATTCATTACATGATGGCTACATAAGTATAGCAGTAGAGACTTTGCGTTTTTGACTCCGGGCCTCACAGCGCAAGATGTCTAATATCTTGGTTGGGAGCCGTGAAGCTCGTGCGAGTGATACCTTATGAATCGGATTTGAATGTGTGTACCTTGGCACGGCACTAACATCCCTGTCACATTGTTCTACCATGACAACGTGGCCGAGTGGTTAAGGCGTCAGACTTGAATTTACAACATTCGGTTATCTGATTCCTTCGGGAGCGTAGGTTCAAACCCTGCCGTTGTCGATCGGGAAATAATTTTTTCCCTTTCTTCGGGGTGTGTGAAGAGGAAGGAGAGAAAAGGGACAAGAACGAGATATTATAACGGAGCCTATCCAGCTGTCTGGTTAACTTTTTTAGTTAACAGTTTGCGTCTCCCGCCCGCGTGATGAATTGATGAACCGCTCGATAAGCAGCAATCGATTGAAATACAACCCCTCATCCTTGAATAGTAACTCAGTGCGTAGTATTTATCATTGAAGAGCCAGCAGTCGGGACCGGTCCAATCCCTACAGGCTCTGACTGGGTTTAGCTATATATTTCCAACTCCGGACTGGGCTGGGCTGGAGTATATAAACTTGGACCAGTCCGAGTATATAGTTTTGTGATCTAATAATCTTTCTCATTTCCTTTCCCTAGTATAGTAAACAAACTAAGATATACGTATTCTAGAATATTTGACCCAAAAACATATATCATATGCCAAAAGAAATAAATGAATCCCAGTTGGAAAGCGCACGAGAAGTGTACATCCAACCTTCTCAAAACAGCCAGTTGGATTCACAGTCTGGATTGAGCTATGGACTGGACTGGCCATAAAGATAATAGCCTGGAATGGACTGGCCCGACTATTTATGGACCAGTCCGATAGTATAAACTGGCTGACTACTGAAATCTCCGTGTGGCGTGGCAGTGGCAGTGGCAGTGAAGGCAAGCAAGGTGAAATAGGTCTTTATAACGTGATATATCTTAGGCCTTGTTGATCTTTTATATGGGCAAGCCATTCTAGTCTGTAAACGTAATGGAACATAAGTCTTTAGCTGGTTATATGATTATTAGTATAGCCACTCTGTAAAAGTGTTCGTGATGCCGATTTCGGAGTGACATTTCTTCATATGTAACCGTGGCGGACCATCAAAACTCCCTCAAGAGAAGACTTTCCCACTGACTGGCGACCGGAATCGATGAAGAATAAGATCAATAACTTGACTTCTTTTATATATAGTCATGAACACTTTTACTAAGTAGGCGCTGTACATACACGTGTCTGCTGCAAATGATGAGCTAGTGTTACAAAAATAACCGATCACTAGCACCCTTGTGAGACTCATAACAACTAAACTGTCCAGCGAAGAAACCTTACACCGAGACCTTCGAGGCCAGAAGGATAAGTCAACCCTCCCCAAGCATCTAACTCTGTTTAGGAGACTTAAAATTATTCGGTTGCTCTCCCGGTTGTTGCGTTATGAAATGGATTTCGACGGTGCCAATGCTAGTAACATACAAGAAATCCTCCGTTTCATTATGGATCTCGATTGCCCTTTTGAAGTACCCTGAATACATACCACAAGTTGACGATTCTGTATATCTGTAGACCTAGAATTCAGCAGCTCGAAGATTCAGGGACGACATACAAGCATCAATTCCAGCGTCTTCCTTAAATCATGAAACATCACTCGGTCAATACCCTAGCCCTGTTGTTCTACCTCTACTCTACAAGGTCATTTCCCCTGAAATTTTGCATGTTGAAAGCTAACCTCGAGAAGCTAAATGTATCTGATAGTAGAGATTTGCTTGGGGAATTAGCCTGTGCGGCCGGGAACAATAAGTGCATGACCATAATCAGGGCCGGAAAGCCGAGATATATTGAAATAGCGTATATATGTACCTGTACTTGTACCTACATGTACATGTGCTCTATTAATCCGTTGAGGAAGAAGCGGCTCGGGTACTGCGTCGGTTCAGACGGTGAATTGGGGCCGCTGCCTGCCAAGACTAAAAACGCCGTCTAAGATGGATTGTAAGTGCTTTGAGTCACTTAATTACATGCTTACATATACTACATGAGAGGACCAAGGTTTACCTACCTAGGTATGTTTTATGCTTTGTTAGGAAGTGGACGGCTGATAACCGGCCTTTTCTTTTGGTTTGCCCCTGGCGTTTGTTTCTCATCCTCGCCCTCTACGTTTTTGTTTTTTCCCGACTAGTTCTCACTACTGCCACCACCATCGCCGCCGCCAATTGCAACACCACCACGCCCATCACCACCGTCATCATGGCAATCATTAATTCAACCGTGGCGACATTTACCCTTTAATCTTTGTCATAAGAATCGGCTATTTTCATCGGTGTGGCTCAACATGAACTCCCTATTGACTTCTCTCCGTTGTCAAATTTCGGTTCCCCCTTCCTTTATCATAAATGCAGCAAGGACTGCATGATTTGAGATGGCTGGGCCTACCTACAGTAGTCCTTCTAGCAGTGTTCATGCTCACCGCATGCAAACTCAGCCGGTTCGATTTCACAGCTGGACATTCACCAATAGCAATAAGCCTTGGTCTTGTCATCGGCTTTGCCCCTTGTTAACTGGAACGGAAGCCTCCTGATTCGTGGGTTCACACAACTACCTACATGTATCTAGAGTATCTGACGCACGAATATCTCCGCTGGAAACCGAGTCTGTTTAAGGTATCAACTCGACGCTGAGTTATGAAAAGCCCTATAGAATCTGATAAGCTCATGATTGCCATAGACTACGGTCTGCATGCAATTAATGAATTAGCAAAAAAATGACAAGCTCATGCTCAATACACGAGTTCGTCAGTTGTGATCGGGTCATGTGGTTGGAAGGGGCCCGTGAGTGTATTAAGTGAGGGTGGCCTGGTTTTCCCCCATGTCTCATTAGACACTTCGGCATCTGAACACAAAACTTGAAAGCGGTGTGAATATGAAAATAATAAGAAGAGCTAATTTTCCGCTACATGTAGGTGGTTTTCCCAAAGTGCGTGGCAACGGAGGTACTATACCATATTTTCTCAGGCGATTATGACGGAAGGACTCATGTTGCATGCGTAGGGGAATTAACTTGAGCCACACCTAAATCAATCTGCCAATATACCACTTGACGTATTTGGCCTACTTCGGTATTCCTGGAAAGGATTAATACGACTAGATAAGGGTAATAGTACTGCCGTAAAGTATTCTATCAAGCCTTTCATCTAGCTACTAAACGATACTGTGGCCAATCAGGTTTTTTGGCCAGTGGGTGTGGACTCGAAATTGATGCATCCTAAGTCTATGAACTCTTCCGAAGATTACTCGGATTTTCACAAGGGTTTTTAATTTTCTCGGCCGAGGAATACACGTTATCACCAGGTCATTTATAGCAGGTTTTAGGTCAACCAGGGTGAAATGGGCAAACAAGCGGCACAGAGAAACAGCGACCATGTACCAGCATGGGGGAGAAAAACAAAGTACTAGTCATAGTCTGTCTGGAGTCAAACATTTGATAATCTCACTTGTTACCCACGGCTACACAGCTTCAGATAAACACAGGGAGTCTGAGCTGTCATCCAACAGCAATCACAAGATCTCACTCGGTAGTGAAGAGGTAATTCTACAGGCGATATTACACAAACTTGGAATTATTTCTACTAATTGCAGGGAACGATGAGCGGTGGAGTGTTTGAGTGATCCCATGAAGTTGGTATTTTACAGAGTCATGGGTTAGGGGGGGGAGCTGGGAGCGATCAAGAATGAGGACGATTAAAACTGACCTTTCTGTGACCAAGCCAATGATGTTGTAGTGGCAAAAGAAAGAACCTTGGAATTTGAAATTCTCAATGTGAGACATGGCTCCTTCCATAATGCGGGGTATGCCGTGAAACATTCGGGTAATCTAATACCCACAGCCAAGACATTCAAACATCAGCCACTGCTGCATGAGTGTGCCACTCCTGGCATCGCACGGAGCTCGGCAGGCACAGACGGAGAAAATAAGATCCGGGGTGACGTTTTCAGCAATGAGATCGGCATATGTGCATCATTATGCTGAAGAAAATAGACGTGGTTTTGGTTTCGGCACCTACGGATGTGCAGGTTCATCCCGCCTGTTCTGTTCTTGACTGCAGTGATAGAAGGCTTATTTTATGCTCGACAGGGAAGCTGTCAAGGTAAGTCGGTATCGAGATTTCATCCGTTGTCGATCTTCTTTATTTTTGTTGTAGATATCGGCAAGTAAAGTAATTACTTACCAAAGCAGGAGACATACCGCCGTAGCTCTTAGACAAATATTGCAAACCAACCTTTTTCACACCGGCTCATAGTGGGAGAAATCCGAACGAAGTGGTTATCTCTGCATTATCCCGCCTATCGATACTGTCCACCCTATAATTGAGAAACTAAATTTGTGTGAGAGATCTGTTATTTGATCAGAGAGAGATAACGAGATCTGTTAGTAAAGCCACACCAGATTTCCTTTTTCTTGGGTGGGCAGCATTTTCCGACAGACGAAGGGGTGCAGCCACTCATCAGTGTTCGTGATTCACACCAAAGTTGGTTAGTGCGTGATGTGACTTACCAGATTTTACGGTCAAATTAAGGAGCTAAAACGGATCTATATGATTGTATCCAGTGAGTGATAGAGAGTAAAAATACCATGAACGTCTAATATTGACTTTGGCCACGAGTGATTCACTGTTGCTGTGTTGAGGTTTTGAACATTTCAATGGGCACTTTGATTCCTGACATGTCACATTAAATCCGAAACACAAACACTTCACTTTTGATGAGCGACTGTACATACATACATACATACATACATTTTTTCGATGTGCGTGTGTACATACATACAGTATCGTATTCTACCTACGTGTATATACGTATGTACCCCCATTTTCGTATCAAACATATGTAGTACCGTCGTAAAAAAAACTGAAATATTATGTACCACACATTAGAGCAAGAGAGTTCTCCCGTTCGGCATATGTTCCGGCCCACGCGGCCAATAGTCCTTCAACACTTTTCCGATTAGGGTCAGTTTGTTTCCAGCCAAGCTTTTCGCCTATTCTTGTCGTGTGACAACGCCTGGCTGGCCACATGGTTGTTGAGATCTCAGCCGTTGTTGTTGTATGCATGACGCTTACTCATGTGGATCTGGTATCGTTTGTGCAAAACAAGATCCGAGAACCCTAGGCTGTTAGCTCTAATTGGTGTGGGTTCCTACAGATCCTTGGGGCTGGTTCCTG